AACGTGCATATATTACCTGTACAGTACCTTACCTGGTTCCTAGATGCTCAGATAACCTGTACGGTACCTTACCTGGCCCACACACCTAAGAGACGTGGATATATTACCTGTACGGTGCCTTACCTGGTCCCTAGACCTAAGAGCCGCGCATATATTACCTGTACGGTACCTTACCTGGTCCCTATACCTAAGACACATGCATATATTACCTGTACGGTGCCTTACCTGGTCCCTAGACCTAAGAGACGTGCATATATTACCTGTACGGTGCCTTACCTGGCCCGTAGACCTAAGAGACGTGCATATATTACCTGTACGGTGCCTTACCTGAACACAGACCTAAGAGACGTGCATATATTACCTGTACGGTACCTTACCTGGTCCCTATACCTAAGACACGTGCATATATTACGTGTACGGTGCCTTACCTGGTCCCTATACCTAAGACACGTGCATATATTACCTGTACGGTGTCTTACCTGGCCCATAGACCTAAGAGACGTGCATATATTACCTGTACGGTGCCTTACCTGGCCCGTAGACCTAAGACACGTGCATATATTACCTGTACAGTGCCTTACTTGGTCCCTAGACCTAAGAGACATGCATATATTACCTGTACGGTACCTTACCTGGTTCCTAGATGCTCAGATTACCTGTACGGTGCCCTACCTGGCCCGTAGACCTAAGAGACGTGCATATATTACCTGTACGGTGCCTTACCTGAACACAGACCTAAGAGCCGCGCATATCTTACCTGTACGGTGCCTTACCTGGCCCGTAGACCTAAGAGACGTGCATATATTACCTGTACGGTACCTTACCTGGTCCCTAGACCTAAAAGACGTGCATATATTACCTGTACGGTGCCTTACCTGAATCCTAGACGCACATATTACCTGTACAGTGACTTACCTGGCCCGCAGAACTAAGAGACGTGCATATATTACCTGTACGGTGCCTTACCTGGTTCCTAGATGCATATATATTACCTGTACGGTGCCTTACTTGGTCCCTAGATGCATATATTACCTGTACGGTGCCTTACCTGGTCCCTTGGTCTAAGAGGCGTGCATATATTACCTGTATGGTGCCTTATCAGGTTCGTAGACCTAAGAGACGTGCGTGCATACATTTCATGTACAGTCAACTGAAGCATGAAGAGCGGCAGAAACTAGAGCAGAGCTCCTACCCGGCTTGGACAACTTTAATCTGCTCTTTCCTTGTCCCTACACCTAAGAGCCGAACCTGTACAGTGTCTTACCTTGTCCCCGACCTAACATCCGTACATATATTACAATTGTACAAGGAAGTATCGCTGGTCTTTCGAGGTATAGCTGGCTAAAAGCCGGAAAACCGACAGCACAAATCGCCGAGGTCACCTACGGGTGAAACTACAGTGTTTCCGTCGTTCAACTATGCCAACCAATAGAATGGCACCATTCTACACCGCACTGAACCATCTTATATAGCTGACCAATGGCAGCGTGGCTCTTCACCGTGGCTGACCGCCGTAAATAACGACCTGCGATACCTCATCCGACAGCAGGGCGTCGGAAGGAGCTTCCTGGGAAAAATGGAACTTGGCGGCCGCCATCTTGCTTTGGTCACATGCTACAGTACAGTACGGGGGGCGTGGTCATGGGGACACTTGTTGATTGACAGGTGAATTTCATTGCATTGAGAAAGTGAAGCCATATTACAAATGTATTAAGTCGTATCGAATGGGATCATTGGTCTTCCACTGTTTCGGAAAAAGAAGTCTAACCCAGTAAAGTAGAATCAAGGTATCAAGGAATTTAGAGTTTTTAAATAATTAACGATGACAAAAGAAGAACTGGCATAACAGTTACAAAATGCCTAACATTTACAATGACATAAAGTTACGCGTACCGCAAACCTTATAAAAACGTGTAAAAGATATAAAACATTTTTGTGTTCATATCGATTTGCAGGGCTATGTCTTAAACTTAAGTCAAAGGCGTAGAAAAAAGGAATGCTATCTCTGATTAAGTGAGTGAGTCTAATGATCACTTGTAAGAGTTGTAACGTTAACGCTACATGAGGAAGAGACATCTAAAAGCTGTGATTTTGTATGTGGCATGAAATTCCTTATAGCCTCTGTCATTCCAAGATCGACTGCATTGATTTTCCTTTCTTTCTTTTTCATCCCATCGTTTTTAATTTTTCGTACAACTTGTCAATTTTATCGAACATTTCACAGGTGTCCTTTTGTGCAACTGGTACTGTAAATTGTGTAATTTATAGTATGTCATTTTGTATGGGTATGGCTACAACGTATTACAGTCAAGCCTGTGCAAGTGACCACCTCTACATAAGGACCACCTTTTGTTTGTTCTTTAGATAATTTTTCCTATAAGAATCCTGTCTATAGCAACCACCTGTCCACATAGACCAGATTTTATCAGTCTCCCCTGGGTGCTCTTCTTGGGCACTGCGGTTTTGACTACTTGAAATATACCGCAAAGCTTCTTGCAAGGAGGAACTATTAGACAAGCCTCTACCAGGCTTCGGGAGGCGGCTGGAAAAGTAGAAATCGGCCAAATAGAGAGATAGCATGCCGGGGGAGTTGGCACACTGTTCTCTCCAGCAGACCAACTCCTCTGGCATTCTATCTCTCTATTTGGCCGATGTCTAACTCTTTCCAGCCGCCTCCCGAAGCCTGGTAGAGGCTACTATCAGACCTCCTTGCTTCTTTTTCACAGTCTTGGCAACGTTTATTTTTTCTCAAAGGCTCTCTGACGTCAAACTTTTGACAGCAGACGACGCACGACACCACCCTGCGCAGGCGCGTTCTGTCAGGCTGCATAACTACATAAATTAGTACCGTTTAGTCGTCAGAAATAAAACATGGCCGACCCCGCGTATGCACCGAGTGCGCCGCCAAAAGACCCTGCCTACCCTCCTCAAGCCGGCTATCCACCGCAGGTAAGGTCTATAGAGGCGCGTGTGTGTTAATCATCTACTAAACTAGCGATACCAACAGATATAGATCGCAAACACACACCATCTGTGTACCTAAGAGTTTAGGAGATAACCGAACGTACAGTGCTCGCTAGTACATGAAATGGTGTTTTTATTTTCCAAACGCTCCATTTCCGGGACAGATTTTGCACGTTTTACACTAGATCAGATGCTAAGGTTGATATCTACAAGTGTTCAGTTCATTCTACCTTCAAGAAACAATTGTTAGGCGGTGACACTTACGTTTGACAGCCTACAAAATCGCCGTGTTTCACCAAAACAAACATATCATATGGTGACTCGGCATGTTCGACCTTACGCTGTGTGGTAAGATCCATATCACAAATCACTGTGCTTTGACTGAATCACTAGTAGAAACCCTATTTGAACATGTCTACAGGATGTAGAATATAACGTTAACAACATTCTTTTTTTTTCTCTGTCTCTCCATATGTTTTGGAGAGAAACATCAAATGGCGTTGCCTGATTATGTTACATGAAGATGATAATTAGACCTAATCGAGTAAAGATCACATTTCGGCCTGACCCTAAACATTCGCCTTGCAGTTCAGATGTTGTTACTCGTGTTATCTTAAAAAAAAAACATAGCAAACAGAAGAAACGACTACATATAAGACTTGATATTAAGGCATGAAAATATTTAGCTTGGAAAGGGCCGGAAATTCTTTCCTAATTGACCCACTTCTGTGATTGACCACTTGAAACTGATCTCCCGGCTATGCTATTCAGTATTCGCACACCCGACTTCGCTTCAATGTGAAACATTCTTGCAACCGATCGTCACAAGCGATAGGAAGTTGGGAACATTCTTGTGCCAGTCGTGGCGTTGTCGTACAACAGTCGGCTGCCTTTTGACAGAAAAGATTGTCGTATAATGGTTAACAGGCGTCTCTGCAATACTGAGTCTCAAATCAAAAATCGTAACGTACGCAAAAGTCACATGTAAAATTGTATCACGCAACGTTATGTGTCTGTGAATTCGCAAGTGAATTGAATCTGTTTTTACACAAATTGTCTAGTTAGATAAGGCCTTATTTAGGCATATGGATATAGGACGCGCTGAATAATGAAAGAATATTAGATTAGAGTTGAGAAGATAGAATTGCAGCCAAATTTGATGCTGAGGTCACATGTGCGTTTGTTACATTATGTAACGTGATATGGTACTAGTAACTTCCCCTCCAGACATAGTATGGTACGTGTCGATGAAGGTTAGACATCCAGGTAACAAGATACGCCAAAAACAGTTCCTCAAGCCACTGGATATGATTTTGGAAACGGTCAGACGTTTCAGCTAGTATCCACTAGCTTTCGTCAGTGTCTGGAAAGCTAGTGGATAGTCACTGACGAAAGCTAGTGGATACTAGCTGAAACGTCTGAGCATTTCCAAAATCATATCCAGTTGCTTGAGTAACTGTTTTTTGGCGTTTGGTGTATGATTCAGGCTTTTTTCTTCGTTTCCTCTTCTACCATGATGTTACGGAAATGATTATAGGCAGACAGGATATATGCTTTCCGTGACACGCATGGCTTCACATGTGTAGTTTCACTTTCGCTGTACGTTAATTGATGGTTCTCTATTTTTTTCTACCCGAAAATTTAATGTTCTCTTTTTCAAGTTTAACGCACGTTAGATATGCAATTATGCATGTTTGTGGTTATGCCTACGTACAAAATTCTTTTGTTTTTATCACTTTTTTTCCTTAAATACACGACATTAACATCCATCGAAATAAAGGAAACCGTCTTGCAGTCCTTTTCTAATTTGAGTGTAGCCTTTCTTGTCCGTTTCTGCACCGATAAATTTAAAGTGCTTATTGCTACATGAATGGCTACATTTCTTGATGAATGAATTGCTACATTTCTTGATGAATGAATTGCTACATTCTTGATGAATGAATTGCTGCATTTCTTGATGAATGAATTGCTACATTTCTTGATGAATGAATTGCTACATTTCTTGATGAATGAATTGCTACATTTCTTGATGAATGAATTGCTACATTTCTTGATGAATGAATTGCTACATTTCTTGATGAATGAATTGCTACATTTATTGCAACATGAGTATATAAGATGCATGTTCCGTTGTCTAGCCCCAACAGGTCCCACCACCCTACCAGCCTCCACCGTACAGTGCTGCTGCTCCGGTAGGTCCTTATTATTCATTGTAAATTTGTATGCTATTTGATATGGTATGATATAAACTTTATTACACAACAATTCTACTGCAAGGTACAACGTGTGGCATCTATTGTTATATGGCATGCTATGAGACTAGTCTACCTTTCAAGAAAAAAATATGTGCTATGCGATGAGAATGCACTTCTTTAATTACTGACGGAATTTCTAGCGTCTATGTAATGCTAGATTCAACACAACATGTAAAAGTGTCATAATTGTGTGCTGACATATACGAGTCTTTCCCGTGTACTTTTTTTTTCTCTCCCATGAAGGAGAAAACTGAAGGAGTGAGTGAAGGAGTGAATGAATGAATGGGCGAATAAAGGGATAAATGAACGAATAAATGAACGTATATAATATTGCTATGATGTCTTTTTATGTCATCATTGACGTCATTAATGCCTGATGTTCTCTCTATAATTAAAAAAAATGCCCCCCTGCGGCCCCCTTGATAACCCTAATTACCCAATTTGATCCATACCTTTAGACATAACACCAGGCACGGCGTGTTCTAATGTCTGCTAGTTGTGTCCCTAGTTTCTATGGCTGTGAATGAAGCCCGATATCTCTGAATAATTTATGGATGCGTAATGCTCACATCATGCCAATTGGAAAATTACGATACGGACAGACAATAGACTGAGTTAGCCAGTTGGTATTTGTGTGTAGGATGATCGAATGCGAAAGAGAATACCGGGTATATTTTGACGGTGCATTCTGAAGACTCCAGCACGCCTATTCAGAAGAATAGTGACCCGGTGTGCTTGGTTATATCAAGGAGCTTTCATCTAGACTAAGTAGAGTTGTAGAATGTCCTTGGTTATATATGAGTACTAGTACGCGAGCCGTAGAGAAGTACTTGATCATGTTTTACCTCAGTTGACAAAATAATACTGAAATTCTGAAGTGTTTATATAACGCTATGGCATTATACTAGCCATCTGCAGGAATTTCTGTCGGTGAATTTTATGGTTTTAACCTCTCGGTCATGGGATCTTAATGTTTGCCCCGACGTTTTTGTTTACAAAGCGGAGTTGAAAGTTGACGCCTCTAACGGGCTGCCAATTCTTCACACTGCCCAGTTTACCGACCGTCAAGCTATGCCCATATGTTCTCAATACTAGTATTTGGATTGTCCGCAATGGGTGAAGGACGCCACGAAAGCAGAACTTCGTACGGATGTCATAGAATACTTCATAGAATTTTGACGATACAAAATAACCCGAGTTTCGGAAGCAGAACATCATTTACAAATTATCTAAAATGAAGATAATTAAAATGATGAATGCCGCGCCAACGCCCAACCTCACAACAATTGACTGTAATTATCAAATGATCCTTGAAACAGCGTCCCCTTGGCGATGCCGACAGGTGATGACGTCAGCAGGTCGTCAGGTGCTGGTGAGAACGCAGAATAATAATATTACAGTCGGCGGTGTTGAGAACAGGAAAGACTAGACTTTTGTTGGGACATTCTGGGGCACAATGAGCGTTTCACCTGCAGATGAGGTGAAGTTTTATTTACAATATCGGGCTGAATAGACTGAAATGCTATATTTTACTCTCCAAGCAGAGGTTGTTGGAGGAATTATCGTTAGTTTTTTATGTATGGCCCGCTTTTATTTATTTTTTGTCGCTACCTTGGGTTGCGTATGGTCCCTCTCTATACTGCCTGGCCAATTTGATACTCTATTTTTGAGACCCTAGGATCTGCTTGGAGATCACTATATTGCAGATTTTTGGCAAGATCTGCACAATTCAGTACGTAGGTCAGCTGATGCCGACAAGCTATTTATGTCAACAGGTACCGGAGCTGAGAAAAAATATACCATGGCGAAACTATGACCATGTTTCCCTCGTCGGGATAGTCAAGTTTGCAGTTTCCTTTTAATGCCTTATGCTCTCTGCTATATCGTTAGTGGAAGTATGTGTGGCTAGATAAATACGGTTACCGTGTGGGTCCACTTCTCAATGGCCAACGTGTACCGGCTGAAGGATAGAACTGAAGGACAGAGCTTGAGTTCCAGTTTGTTTGTTTGTTTGTTTGAGCCCATAAAAAATAAGTTGAAAAAAAACTTCAGTGTGCCGTCACCATGAATGTTGAATTGAAAAATAATAGCTAACCATTACGACGACAACACTGTCTTCCACAGGCCGGCGGCCCTCCACCACCACAGTACGGCCCCGGACCACCACCCCAGGCGTATCCCCCACCCCCACAGGCTGGATACGCCCCACCTCCACCCCAGGGATATGCCCCACCACCCCAGGGGTACGCCCCGCCACCCCAGCCGTACGGCGCCCCACCACCCCAGGGATATGCTCCCCAGCCAGTCCAGCCGGGCTACCCACAGGCACAGCAGACTACGGTAGTGGTGGCGCAGCAGCAGCCGACTACTGTCGTGGTGCAACAGAGGAGAGCGTAAGCTGTGTTTGTTTGTTTGTTTGTTTGTTGCGTATGTATTGCCTAGCAACGTAAGTAAATAAATAACAAGCACAGCAGACTACGGTAGTGGTGGCGCAGCAGCAGCCTACTACTGTCGTGGTACAGCAGAGGAGAGCGTAAGCCGTCTGTTTGTTTGTTTGTTTGCTTGTTTGTTTGTTTGTTTGGTTCGTATATATTGCCCAGCAACGTAAGTAAATAGCAGACATAGTAGACAACGGTAGTGGTGGCGCAGCAGCAGCCTACTACTGTCGTGGTGCAGCAGAGGAGAGCGTAAGCTGTGTTTGTTTGTTTGTTTGCTTGTTTGTTTGTTTATTGCGAATGTATTGCCTAGCAACGTAAGTAAATAAATAACAAACACAGCAGACTACGGTAGTGGTGGCGCAGCAGCAGCAGCCTACTACTATCGTGGTCCAGCAGAGGAGAGCGTAAGCTGTGTTTGTTTGTTTGTTTGTTTGTTTGTTTATCAATTTTGTACAACAACACAAGTTAGTAAGGATAATGAGAAAGCAATAGTAAAAATTACAATAGAAGGAAAGAAGCCAACGGTGACTTATGCTAATAAGCCCTCTTATTTACAATCGAAGATTGGCCACAATTGAACTTGACCTTCGTTGTCCCAACCCCAACGTACCTACCAAATATCACCACAAGCCTGAATTCCTGGAAATTTCGTGTTTTTCCAGGAACGAGGTGAACCACTGTCTGCACTGCATCATCACGCTGTTCTTCTGGCCATGGGTCTTCGTCTGGATCGTCTTGGTGAGTGGCATTTCCTAACGCTCTTCGTAATGGCAGTAACGGTGGCGTCGGATGGCGTAGTGGTATAACGTTCGACTATGAAACGGTGAGACCCGGGTTCGATCCCGAGTTGTACCTGGGACATGTCTGGACGTTGTGTCCTTGGCCCTTAACACGACTTTCCTCACTCCACCCAGGTGTGAATGGGTAACAAATGGGACAGTCGTATTGAGGTCACCTTGTGGCGCCGAATGGCAGCCGCACAGACCCTTGCGACAGTTCCACAAAAGTGTGTGTGCAGCAAATATGTTATACGTACATGTATCATGTGTACTATGTGATTGTAAACCCTGCATCAATTTAGCGCTATAGTATAAAGTCTTCGATTGTATGGGTAATATTTGACCATTAACCAATGCTATGACAGGGTGTTCGCGCTCATATTAAAAAAATCACTTCTTTGTTGTTTTTTTCAGTGTATGATGGAAGGAGACTGAACAAAGGTATCCGCGTATCCATAGAACGGATGGAGAGAGTCCGCCGCCGTCGCTTCTCACTTTTCTAAGACCTCACCACGTCCATCAAATGCAAAGGACTGTTCACAGCATTTCACACAGGAGCTGACAAACCTTTTTGCCATTTTTGCTGTACCTAACACATAACCTTCTCGACGAAGGTAAATAATCTAATCATACAATACAATACAGTCTGTTCAATACAAGACTGTTCCCAGCATTTCACACAGGAGCTGAAGACCTAAACTTTTGATAATAACCACACAGTCACATTCTAACTCGTCGTTGTACAATGTTGATGCCGTAGAATTTTCAAGCAGGCTGTGACCAAACCAACCGCAGATACGGATCTAAGACTTACTCTCAAAGCAGAGGTTTGGGTTTGGGGTTATTTTTTGCGTGTTTTTAGGCTTTTTTATCGGAGTTTCTCTGCACTTAATTTTTGTTCCCACCAAAGCCCCCAAATTCAGTGCAATAGAGAAACCCCGATAAAAAGCCTAAAAACACGCTAAAATAACCCCAAACCCAAACCTCTGCTTGGAGAGTATCTAAGACTGCCTTTTGGTAACAACGGAGCTGAATTTGTACGGGCATGACTATCCTAAAAAAATACCCCCGATTTGCGATCGTATTACGGTCGTACAACGTTTGTGAGCTAGTATCAACCTATGCTACAATGCTTAATACCCATTTGCCTGCCGCGATGTTGACCATATGCATTTGTCTTGCTCTACAATGATAATATGTGGGACGGCCGATATATATATCACAGACGTTGGTGTACAAAATCATCAATTTAACAGAGTGAATTTAACACAAAATATATTTGTAAACTTTTAAACATGAATGTAATCTATATATTGAATGTTCACATATAAGCTTGTTTGGAAAATGTATTAGGTTAAACACATAAAGAGGATTGTTGTAATTTCTATGCCCTATAATCGGATTGCAATTATGTAATAATTTCTTTCCTTAATTCGTTCATTCCACTTTACGAGACCAAAAAGCAAAACTAACATATTGCATAATTGGGACTGTGCAAAGCATACGAAGATATTGTTTTAGTCAAGTACAAGGTACGAAAATAGTATCACAGAAAAATATCAATATCGTAATGATCTAACTGTGCAACTGGTGGGATATTTCCTGGCTCTAAAAATGTTTATTCAAGAAAACATGTCTCGATGGTAAGTGTACTTTTTGGATGATATTTTACATACATATAAAACTACTACGACGTATGTTGGCATGTATTTTGCAAGTGTTTGCAACAACGGAGCTGAAATGTATCTGTCAAAGAAACTGCTACAATGTAACTATTGTAACTTTGTTACAGGAAAATGTCACAATCTTTGTAATGTGTTTGTTATTTGTATAATTATGTACATTGTTACTCTGTACTTAAACTGTATTGTTGTGGTATGTTTCATCTTGTTTTGTTGTCACCGCTACTTTCGTAAATTTTCAATGATATTCTTTATTATTGATTAATTATTTAGTCTTGAAAATGAAATAGAGACATATCTAGATCAATATTAGTAATATTTAGATTAACTCTTTTAATTCCATCAATAGTTTAGATCTAGAACCGTTTAGCTAAAGTTTCAAATATCAAACCATATATGAAACGTTATAGCATATTATGTGTGAATATGTTGTTATAAAGAAAGATTGTCAAAGTCACCACGCATCATTCTGTTTCCAACACTGTAGTCCTAAAATTGTTTTAAATGACTACAGTACCTCTCCGTGCATCTATATTATGTCATTATCATACTTAAATGCCGTCCGTGTTGCTAGTTTCTGTAATTCGTTCGCTGGTTCTGTATCCAGAACCGTGCCGATCTGGGTCTACAATATGTCTAAATGCCTGGGTTAAAGGTAGGCACGCATATCCAAGAATGTAGATTTGCCTCAGGCATGGTTCAACTTAAAGATACGCGTGGGGTATCCAGAACCGTGTCTGTCTAGTTCTATGCCTGAATGGGTATTAGGGTTAGGATCGGGCAAGGTTCTGGATAGCCTGTATTGATACCAGAACCGTGCCTATCTAGTTCTGTGCCTGAATGGGTTAGGGTTGGATCAGGCACGGTTCTGCCAGTCTCTATTGTATCCAGAACCGTGTCTATCTAGTTCTGTGCCCGAATGGGTTAGGGTTAGGATCAGGCACGGTTCTGGATAGTCTCAGCATAACCAAGAAGGTAGGTTTGACCCAGGCACGGTTCTGGATATCCGTGCTTTATCCAGAACTAGAACCATGTCTGAGCATGATTCTGGATAAAGCGCGGTTCTGGAATCAACCACCTCCCCGTTTGGTTCGCTGAAGAATCCCTGCACCAGTTAATGTTGACCCTGTACCTGGCGTGAAAGAACCGGCGACAACCCGAAACCGTCATAAAGTTCACACTGTCAGACAGAAGGGACGTATCGGGTTACCCTGTCACCATGGTTACCATTGTTTACCCTCCCCCGCTGACAACACGACCCGGGGTGGGGTGTAACCCAACCCGCGGCGGACATGTTACGGAACTCGGGAGAGCTGTGAAGGTTGTGTCCTAGAAAGAAGGTGAGTTTTTTTAGCCTAAATTTGTCTGTAATGTGCGTCTTTTCACCAGGATAAACCATTTAACGCGTGTTTTGTTATTTACAAAGCGATCTAGAGGTGATTAAAACCTACAACGGCGTGGAATTGGTAGTAGAAAATCTCGCCCAAGATCAAGTCTACTTTATGTACTTTCTTTCCCTTATTCAACTTGACTAGACTTTAAAATGACGTCGCTACTCTTCATGCACAGGTGTATGTTATGAACAACATGTTACTTTTTGTAGACAGTCGCAGGGGTGTAATCTCTTCTGGGTTTCACGTCGTGCCCCAAAAATTAAACAAGAGTTATGCCCGTTCTTTAAGACTTCGACTGAAAACTTCCGTCTCAGATTACTGAAGTGCGTAACACTTGCCTCTGTAAACTAAGAAGGCAGTCTTGTCATTTGGTTTAAAGGGCATTTTGACAGGCGGTAACTCCACTACAATTACGGAGTAATCTCCAAGCAGATCCTAGGGTCTCAAAAATAGAGTATTAAATTGTCCAGGCGGTATCCATTGGCCAGAGAGGGTCAATGCGCGACCCAAGGTGGGGGTAGCGACAAAAAAAGGGCCATATGTAAAAAGCTAACGATTTTTCCCCGACAACCTCTGCTTGGAGAGTATTACGGAGCTTGTGAGAACATTTGGTAATCTCCCGTGGAAATAAATGGTGATAGAATAATCCGTAACTTCTTGTGTGTGGGAAAGTGAAGGTGGGAAACAGGTCTTTCATTTCATGACCTGACTACGCAAATGGTTCTGTATAGTCTAGAAAAGACAGGACAGAGAAGTCCAATTTCGCCTACGTAACTCTTTTGTAGACATGGTCTTGTAGGTATAACAACTCTTAGTTGTAGTTGTAATTGTAGCTGTACAGTGTAGTTGTAATTGTAGCTGTACAGTGTAGTTGTAATTGTAGCTGTACAGTGTAGTTGTAATTGTAGCTGTACAGTGTAGTTGTAATTGTAGCTGTACAGTGTAGTTGTAGTTGTAGTTGTACAGTGTAGTTGTAATTGTAGCTGTACAGTGTAGTTGTAATTGTAGCTGTACAGTGTAGTTGTAGTTGTAGTTGTACAGTGTAGTTGTAGTTGTAGTTGTACAGTGTAGTTGTAGTTGTAGTTGTACAGTGTAGTTGTAATTGTAGCTGTACAGTGTAGTTGTAATTGTAGCTGTACAGTGTAGTTGTAGTTGTAGTTGTACAGTGTAGTTGTAGTTGTAGTTGTACAGTGTAGTTGTAGTACACCTTACAAAAATCGCTGTACTTTTGTTGTGTCAATAACGATTGTTGCATGAGCTAACAGAGGACGTCATGCCCTGCCTGCATGGAAAACAAACTTCTACTTTCATTTTCAAGTGATGCATTTTTTGTCTCTTCCGTTTCCTGGTAGCGTTAACTGTTGCGGATCTTCCTCGGCGGTTTGAGCTTTTGATAAGATGGCTACAGTCGGACCGCCGCCTCCTGGCTACGCCCCACAGGTAAGTAAGGGATGTCTACTGAATCGTGCTTTATCCAGAACCGTGCTTTATTCAGAACCGTGCTTTATCCAGAACCGTGCTTTATCCAGAACAGTGCTATATCCAGAAGCGTGCTTTATCCAGAACCGTGCTTTATCCAGAACCGTGTCCAGGGTAAATTCTACGTTCTTGGATACGTCTAGACTATCCAGAACCGCGCCTGATCCTGTCCCTAACCCATCCAGTGATAGAACTAGATAGGCACGGTTCAAGATACAATAGAGACTATCCAGAACCATGCCTGATCCTAACCCTAACCCATTCAGGCATAGAACTAGATAAGCACGGTTCTGGATACAATAGAGACTATCCAGAACCGTGCCTGATTCTAACCCTAACCCGTTCAGGCATAGAACTAGGTAGGCACGGTTCTGGATACAATAGAGACGCCTTTTTCTTAGATACGATTACGTATATTAGTCAGTCCTTTGCACAATATTATGTATTTCCATTCAATTCTTTATATCACGATCGCTTTCAGACAACTTCATAATTATCTTGTTACTTGACTGTGTTCCTCTGTTTTCTTACATTAGCCTGGGTACGGAGCTCCACCACCCGGGGCGCCTCCCCAGGGGTACGGGGCACCTCCTCCCCAGGGGTACGGCCCTCCACCCCAGGGGTACGGCCCCCCACCCCCGGGATATGTGCCCCAGGGGTACGGCCCTCCGCCCCCGGCCGCCCAACAGCAACAGACCACCGTGGTGATGGCCCCCCAACAGCCTCAAACTGTCATCGTACAGAACGAACGGTACAGAGAAAAACTTCGCCTCACATGAAAGAATGAGTGAATGAAGGAAGGAAGGAAAGAAGGAAAGAAAGAGAGAGAGAGAAAGAGGGAGGGAGGGAGGAAGAAAGAAAAGAAAGAAAGAAAGAAAGAAAGGAAGAAAGGAAGACAGAAGGAAAGAAAGAGAAAAAAAGAAAGGAAGAAAGATAGAAAGAAAGATAGAAAGAAAGAAAGAAAGAAAGAAAGAAAGAAAAAGAAAGAACGAAAGGAAGAAAGAAAGAAAGAAAGAATGAATGAATGAGCAGTAGTTTGTTAGGCTAGACCATCCCCATGTGAAGGTAAACATTATGTATGATAACTGCCACGTACAGGGTTGCTCTAAACTGTAGGCTTGGCAAAGTCTGTTGTACATATTCAACAATTATCTGTTTGCTTCCAGCCGTGACCGGGTGAACCACGCCCTGCACTGTATCATCAGCTTCTTCTTCTGGCCTTGGCTCCTGGTCTGGCTCTGTCTGGTCAGTACAGCAAAAACTTATGAAAAACTTAAACTGTTCTCCAACTCAAAATTTGACTCACCAGAAATTTTTGACTGAATCACTCAGTCTTCCTCAGCTATCTTCAACCATCGCTCAACCGGGACGATATCGACTTCAGACAACCTTTGACCCTTTGCTGACGTCACACGTGGGAAAAATCACGTGTCCACAGCATTTCCAAGGTCAGATAGCTGAGGAAGACTGAGTGATTCAGTCGAAAATTTCTGGTGAGTCAAATTTTGAGTTGGAGAACAGTTTAAGTTTTTTATAATGTAATTTACCAACTCAGATGAACTTTCATGCTAAAGCAAAAACGTATCTCTACTGAAATGCCTGTCAAGTAAGACCGAAGTACAAAGATCTCCTTTAGTATCCAGAACCATGCTTTATGCATAACCGTGCTAAATCCAGAACTGTACTTTATTCAGAAACATGCTTTATCCAGAACCGTTCTTAATCCAGAAACATGCTTTATCAAGAACCATGTTTTATTCAGATCTTCGAACCGTGCTTAATCCATCCAGAACCGTGCTTTATTCAGAACCGTACTTAATCGATCCAGAACCGTGCTTTATTCAGAACCGTACTTAATCGATCCAGAACCGTGCTTTATCCAGAAGTATGCTTTATCCATGATCCGAAACGATTGCAGAAAGCTTGTCCACACGTGTCCAGAACCATGCCTGGTGCAAATCTACGTTCTTGGATACGCGGAGACTATCCAGAACAACCCTAACCTATTCGGACACAGATAAGAAAGGTTCTAGACACGATAGTTCCCAAGATACAAATGTGGACAGGGATAGTTTATCCATTGATTGTAAAAACACATTCGCATTCCATATTTTATACTCATAGTAAGTCAGATTAGTCATACTTACGTGCTGTTTCTTCCATTGTCTCCTTCCAGTGCCTTACCGAGGGCTAAAGGCTGATTCACGTTATACAACGCTGGATAGCAACATCAAGACGACTGTCTTTATATGGCTGCATCTTTGCAACTTAGGCCACACCAATTTAATTTTCTTGGTTAACGGATTTTTCCAGAAAAATAATAGAGCGGGCGAGCGAAAAAAATAAAAATAAAAACAGGCCTAGGCATCCTATTATGGCCCAAAATGGTACGATAGGAGTCATGAAGTCAACACACCAGGTTCAGAATTTAAACAATGAATTTTGAACTTTTAATGAAACTACTGCATTGAAAGATGGAATGACTGAAACAACTAAAAAGGACTGTTTTCAACTGTTCAGGGCAAAATATGAGCATTTTGCAGTTGATTCTGAATTTTTATTTTTATTTTTTTATTTGCAAAACAGAAAAAAATTAAGAGGGCGAATCCGTTAACCAAGAAATTAAATTGGTGTGGCCTTACAGATGAATAACTAATCTTAAGCTTGGGTTTACATTTGGGGTTGTGTGAAAACTTTTGTCCTCTCTTTTACGTTTTGCAGTGACGTTTAATTTACGAAGGAGATTTTTTTTAAGTCAGCGCTAGCATTATATGAAACCGCGACACACGTATCAGTGATCTTGACTGTCACAATGTAGCCATTCTAGGACAGTATCCAAGCTAAGGCATTGCTACATCGTTGTATCAAGCCATGCATCTATAGGTGCTTTTTTTGTTATTATGCAGTTATCAATCGTTCAACAGAAATTTTCAGAGTACTAAAAACTGATGGAAATACAAAATGGGGTCGTGTGGCGTAGCGGCAGAGTGCTCGACTCGGAACCAAGAGGTCCCAGGTTCGAGTCCTAACATGCCACCGATCTTGTGCCCTTGGGAAAGGCACTTTACACGACTTTCCTCACTTCGCTCAGGTGAAAATGAGTATTGTATTATATTGTCCCCTGTGTTGGTGGCGGCACTAATATATAAGTTTAAAAACTTGAGTGTGCCGTCACCACGTCTTGTGACTACATGTTGGAAATAATAAAAAAAATACAAAATTTTTAGATTATTGTTGCAAAGAAAATATTATATTTCTATCAATTTTAAGGCCTGAATGTAACTATGTAAGTCAAGATGTAAATATTTCCGACACATGATTAGTAGAAAGAGCTTGCTTGACATTTGGATGTTGCTTATATTGATCAGATATTAAAATAAATTGATCACTGAAGATGCACAATTGTTTATTCCCTCTTGTATGTATGTAAGTCCCATAACCGTGAGCGGTCGTAGGGGCAGCCAGCAGTCTGGACTTGCCATGATGTTTCAGTAGGCTTATAATCTTGGAGGCGCCTATCTCCTCTCCAAGATTTTGGCTGATGCAGACGGGGTTCGCCAGGCCTCCGTCCGGGTACCGGTATAGATCACCTGTTCGAACACCACGCTGGCACGTGCGCTCGCACGTGTTCGAACAGGTGGCCGGCCCCACCTTCTTGAAATGGGTCAATAAGTAGTAAGATTACTAAGAAAGAAAATGTTTTGTAGGCTATGTAGGAGTTAATCTAATACAAACCGTTTAGTATCAATAACGTAAGTTTGGGTAGTTTTCAAAATGTTACAGTTTGTACCTGTGTGTAAATCGGGTGATTTACACACAGGTGATTTACATCAAAGATAGAGCCTACCATGTTCTGTATAGATAGCCGAGAAGAGTGACCTACTTTGTATAGTATAGGTAACGTTAGGCCTTTTTATATCACTTTACCCCACCCCTCTGTTGCTAAGGTTGACACAGACAGACAGAAGGTCTACATCGGGTTACATCCCGTCGCCATGGTTACCATTGTTTACCCTCCTGCCGGTGACAATACGATCCACGGTGGGCTGTAACCCAACCCGCGGCGGACATGTTACCGAACGCCGGGAAGCTTGCCCAAGTCGTACCCTGGAAAAGAAGGTGAGTTTAATATTTTAGCGTAAATTTGTAATGTTCGTCTTTTCTTCAAGATAAACTTCGGGAGGTGGCAGGAAAGAGTAGAGATCGGCCAAATAGAGAGATAACATGCAGGGGGAGTTGGTCCCCTAGAGAGTACAGTTTGCCGCTCCCTATTTGACCGATCTCTACTCTTTCCAGCCACCTCCCGAAGCCTGGTAGAGGCTAATCTGAATTTTCTTCCATTTCTGCCGAATTCTACCATCCGTACCCCTGTAGGAAGGCTACATAATTATAATCTCTTCAGTGTTTTAAGTCGTTCTCCCCAAAACAGAAGTTATTCCTTTATGTTAGGGTTTTACTGAGACAGACTGAGATCCAATTTCCGCCTCAGGTTTCTGGAATGCGCCAGTCAAAAGTGTAAAAAGTAGGCAGTCTTGTCCTGCGCTTTAAAGGGCATGTTGAGAGGCGGTAACTCCCACTCCAATTATATATATACATATATATTACTGGGCTCGTTGAACACTTGGTATTTTCTTTTGTATTTTTATTTTAGATTTAACTTGTGCGGGTCTCTCTTGAAGTTTTGACAAGATGGCTACAGTCGGACCGCCGCCTCCTGGCTATGCCCCACAGGTAAGGCTATCTGTTGTATCCAGAACCGTGCGTTTGCATGTTTTGTTTTTTTGTTTTCCTATTTATTTAGTCGCACAAATACGAAAACGTAAACAAGAAGCAAGGGAATAGATAAAATACAACATAGTACAGGATGAGGGTTAAAGCCTGATAGGCTTATACTAAGACCTGCTCCTTTAAAGTATCTAGTAAAATATCTGGTTGTCAGTAAAGACATCGACATAAATATACTGAAATGAAGTTCTTCATGTAGATTAGGTAGTCACTTCCACAATAAACATGATAACATGCACACACACAGTATCCTGAGTCCACCACAGGGGTACGGGGCGCTACCACCCAGGGGTATGGGGCATCTCCCCAGGGGCACGGGGCACCTCCCCAGGGGTACGGGGCGCCACCTCCCCAGGGGTATGCGGCACCACCACCCCCGGGGTACGGGGCGCCACCTCCCCAGGGGTACGGGGCACCACCAGCCCAGGGGTACTGGAGTGCACCCTAGGGGTATGGGGTGCCTCCCCAGGGGGCACCACGACCCCAGGGGTACGGGACACCTCCTTCCCAGGGATACGGGGCGTCACCGACCCCAGGGGTACGGGGCGCCTCCCCAGAGGTACGGGAGTCCTCCCCAGGGGTACGGGGCGCCACCCCAGGTGTATGTTCCCCAGGGGTACGGCTGCAATAGCTTTGAGACAACTTTGTAATTATGTTGCTTGTTGACTGTGTTTCTCTGTTTTTCTTACACTAGCCTGGGTACGGAGCACCACCACCCCAGGGGGCACCACCTCCCCAAGGGTACGGGGCGCCACCTCCCCAGGGGGCACCACCTCCCCAGGGGTACGGGGCACCACCACCCCAGGGGTACGGGGCACCACCACCCCAGGGGTACGGGGCACCTCCACAACAGGGGTACGGGAGTCCACCCCAGGGGTACGGGGAACCACATCTCCCGGGGTCTGTGCCCCAGGGGTACGGCCCCCCACCCCAGGCGTACGGCCCCCCACCCCCGGCCGGCCAGCAACAGCAGCAGACCACCGTGGTGATGGCCCAACCCCAGCCGCAAACGGTCGTCGTACAGAACGAACGGTACGGAGTACAACTTTTCCTCACATGTGTGAGAGAGTGAGTGAGTGAGTGAGTGAGTGAGTGAGTGAGTGAGTGAGTGAGTGAGTGAGTGAGTGAGTGAGAGATTGAGTGAGTGAGTGTATGGTGTCTTCTTCAAAGATCTAGAAGTCACGTGGCTTCTTTGAAGTGTCTACCAGATACCTTTGACCCAGTGTTGACGTCACACTTCAAAGAAGCCACGTGACAAGCTTCACTGGGTCAGTCTACTGAGGAAGACCAGAGTGACTGGTCGAAAGCTCTAGGTGAGAGAATTTTTTGTGTTGGACCAAAAGTTTTAGTTAATTATCTGTTTGCTTCCAGCCCTGAAAGAGTGAACCACGCCCTGCATTGTATCATCAGCTTCTTCTTCCCTCCGTGGCTCCTCATCTGGTTCTGTCTGGTGGGTACAAGAATAACTTATAATTAGCTGTACTATTTTTTTTTTCAATTTTCAATTTTATTAAGAACGCGGCAGGGGTACGTAGTACTCCTGAATTGTGTTGACTTTACATAAGTACAAGAGACGCACAAGGCAATTACATACAAGAGTGGGACATGAAACACTAGAACACTAGGTCTGCTTTTGGCTGTTGTACAGTCTAATTGTGCAGTGGAGGAACGAGTTGTACAGTCTGTTTGTCCGTGCCTTGGGCACCGTGATTCCCCCAGAGTTCCTCAAACACCTCCCTGTGCTATCCGACCTGGCTCCCGGTACCAAATCATGTAGTGGGTGGTCAGGGCTGAGCATACGCTTGAGCAGCTTGACAACCGCAAGTTCACGTCTTTCGCGGAGTGTTGGGAGGTCGGGAACATTCCTCCTTCCACCCAGAGAGATGATCTTCAAGGCTCTCCTCTGCACTCTCTCGAGAGACAGTTCCTGTTTCATGCTACAGCCCTACTAAACTGCCTGTCAAGTAAATCCGAACTACGGAGAGCCGCCAATGGAGAGACAGGGATGGGGGGGAGAGAAAAGAGAGAGAGAAAGAGAGGGAGAGATAATTATCCATCGGTTCTAAAAGAGAAAGGAAGAGACTCTGAGAGAGAGAGAGAGAGAGAGAGAGAGAGAGAGAGAGAGAGAGAGAGAAGAAGA